AACATGTATTGTCTGACCTAAAATGTCACCTCTTCCTTACATTGATAAAACCTTTAGTTCTCTCAGGACCGTGACTTGTAAGGTATTCGGGGATTTACATTTACATATTAATCAATTAAAACCTTCTAACTGATTAAAGATTTAACAGCACCTTAGGTTTGTTTAATATATCCTCATCAGTGCTGTGAAACTTTGATCTTTTACTTACAAATTCTGTGTCTGATACTACCTCTCTCACTAACACTGAAGAAGGACTGAGGCTCCGAAAAGCTTGTGTTTTCAAATAAATCTGTTGGACTATAACCTGATGTCATGTGATTTCTGACCTTATTTAATTCCAGAAGGCTACTGTAGGACTCCAGGTTCCTGCCCTCCAACTGAATTTGAGATTCTAGCATGATATGATCACTCTTCCCTGGAGGATCCTTTATTATAAGATTATTAATTGATCCCATCTCATTACACAATACCAAATCCAGAAACAGCCTGTTCCCTGGTTGGTTCTCATCAAAGAAACAATCTTCAAACATTTAATGGACTTCCCCTTGAAGCTACCCTTGCCAATTTGATAAATCCAGATTATATGCTCATTGAAATCACCCATGATTTTTGTTGTACCTTTCTTACAAGCCCCCAATATTTCCTGGTTTATACTGTGCCCCCTGCAGGACTACTGTTTGGGGACCTATATATTGTTCCTACCAGGAACTCTTTCCCTTGCTATTTCTTATTTATGCCAAGACTGACTACGTCTTGATCTACAATGTTGTTATCATTTCTCACTACAGCACTGACCTCTTCGTTTACTGCACATCTCAGTAATCGCCAACAATTATACCATGGTTTCTATTAATTTTATTCCAAATTCAGATACAAAACCTTTAAATTTGTTCTATTATCAAATTTCCCTACTCCTGTACAATTCCTTGGTATGATAAGATGCTGACATATTCTGTCCCTTCCTTTTCTTTTCTGGCAACAATCAGACTCATCATAATCTGCACTCCCACCTTCTCCTTTAATTCTGTTTTTCTAATTTTCCATGCAACTGAACCCTGCCCAGGACTATTTAGTTAAAACCCAAGTTTAAGAAGAGAGCACCAACATTTCTATAGGAATTGCTTGTAAACTGAAGTGGGTAATCTGAGGCAGTGTAACAGCAGTAATGACGTTGTGCAATTTCAGTCACAATGTCAGCCTGCTCTCACTGAAAATATAGCAGTAATGCAACTAAAGTCTAGATTTGGGATTTAAATATATGGTAACTTCAGATATTTAAATGGTCCATTTCACATTTGTACAGTACAATCATGTGCTTCTAAACATTCCAATACTTTAATATTCAGTACATGTGCTTTGATACTTTGAAGAAAGGCTGTTGAAAGGAAAGTAAAGAGGGTTGAGTCAAGTGTTGAGTCACAGGTCTTGGTGGTTAATTGATATTAAATTTGCTTAATTTTTTTTGCAGGTGGTGGGAATTAACTGGGCATTCACTTGAGTCCTACGTAGGTAGACACAGACTAAAACTGTGGGCTGTAATGGTGCAGTGGTTGTGTCCCTATCTCTGGGTCAGAAGGTCCAGGTTAAAGTACCACATACCATGCAGATATGTCATAACATGCTGAAGTAATTAAAACTGTAGTTGTTGGATTAGGAAGTGTGCTTTATAATGCAAAGCTGTAAGCAAACATAAAGATGTGCAATGTCTGGTAACAGTTCTATTCTTCACCAACTGACTTTTTGAAATTGAACCATGGTATGGTGTGATCAGAAGGTAATAATAAGGGAGCATAAAGACATTAAACGCACAAAAAATAAAAAGCAGGTGGATTTACCTAACCTCAAATGGGGGTCAGCTATTAAACCGCCGGGGAAGAAAAACAGCTCTGGGTGGGAATAAGACATAGTAAGAACTGCCGATGCTGGAGTTAGAGATAACACAGTATGGAGCTGAAGAAGCACAGCAGGCCACGCAGCATCAGAGGAGCAGGAAAGTTGATGTTTTGGGTCGGGACCCTACTTCAGAAAAGGCAACCTCCAATTTAGAATTGAGCAGCTTGACAAACAGAAATGGTAAGGGCTGCCCTACAAACAGGCAAGTGGATCCAGGATATGAAAGGGAAGCCTGGCAAAAACTGGGAAATAGGAAAGGAAGTCATAGTTTATGGAAAATAAAAGCAAAAGGCTGGCAGCAAGAACGTGGAGAAATTCAGAATTGATTTTAAAGGCAGAGAGATCAAGGTCTGTATAGAAATTAGACAATAGTCCTCGATCAAATTTAATATCAAAGAGTAATACAAAAACAGTAGACAAGTCAGATTAGTCCAGCATTAGCAAACCGAAATTAATAATCTACTGTCATCATGGTGAATGGAGAATAGTCTACAGTTATTTCATAAACTGGAGCATTGTCTAGAATAAGCATACAAGTCAAAAAGTAATCCATGATGAGCACAGGGTTGCAGACAAATCCGGGCCAGATTCAGGATTAGAACGTGGGACAAAGCAATTGGTAGTTGGCACCATAAAACTGATTATGAAAACTAGTATAGACTTAGCATTCGGCCAGGCATAATCATGCCTTTAGCATCATCAAAATCATTAGATCCTCTAACCAACATATTGAGCAGCAAGTAATTTTTAAAAAATCTATCCAATTTTCTAACAGTACAGTTCAATGATTTCCCATTTTAAACTTATACTGACACTTAATCAAACAACGACAGATAGTGGCCTAAAAATTCAATGACACATATGGGGTTGGCTGTGCATTGCGTGTGATTGTTTGTGTTGCTCCAAGCAGCATGAAATATTCCTGTCAATTAACATCACTCAGAGATGCAACCATACTGTCTGTGTTATACATTACCATCTGATATCCAGTATCTGAATGCAAGAACAAATGGAAGAAATAGAAGATTCTAAAATCAATATTTGCATTGACTAACTCATGGCTTTTTAATGCTGCAATGATCATTGTATTAATACAGTGATTTAATAAATACAGAAGACTCCCAACCCAGCAAAGAAGTGGGGTATCTCCATAGGCAGAGGAATCCTCAGGTCTCTGAACGCAGGTAGACACATATAATGTTATGCCAAGAAATCTGTTGTCCAGTTTGAAGAAGTGTACAGTCCTTCTATATTAATTTTGCTGTGGGATATACCAGTCTTTCTTGTGATGTTGACAAGAATCTTCTGCATTGCTTGTAAACCTCACTCAGCACCACATATACTCATGACCTGTTCTCATCAGGATAATTTTTAAATTCTTAATTATTTAAACTTTGATAAATTGTCAATAATACTCAAATTAATAAAGTGGCACTAGTTACTTCAAACAACCTGTTCTGTCATGAATAATTCTCTTTCAAAAGAAATAATAATCTAAGCAAGAAGCAAACATAAGACCCTAAGACATAGGAGCCGAGGTAGGTGATTCAATTCATTGAGTCTCCTCCACTTTTCAATGGTATCATGGCTGATACTCAACGCTATTTTCCTGCTTTCATCCCATAACCCTTGATTCCCTTACTGGTTAAAAGTCCGTCCATCTTAGCCTTGAATACATTTAATGATCCAGCCTCCATGTGATTGTCATAAATACAACTTTCAGAACTTAATAGTCAACTGAACAAAGGCAAATTGTTTCCGTATTATACAAGATATCTTACATATATTCTCTGCACTCTACATCTGGCAGTACTTCTGCTGCCGAATACTGAACCATCCTTAGTTGTCAAAGGTTACTGTTTAGTAGAGTTAACTTATTTATCATATCTAAACTACTACTTCTTAACAAAATTAACAAACTTCCTTATGAAAATTCCTTATGAATGATCAACTGCCCATATTGGTTAACTGTGGTCCCGAATCTCCAAAATCTAACAATTTAATCAGCTGTTGAGTGACGCCATGCATTGAAGTCCTTTTGCATCATATCAGAGAGGGACATTATGTTGAGCTGTGCTCGGTATAACCTACATGATGTGTCTTGGTCTCAGCTAACCTACCATCTCATAGTTCATTACAGGTAGAGCCTGAAACATGTGTAACAGATTTTTTTTTGTTGGAATTCAATTATAATAGACAATGTTGTCTGTCAAACCTTTGTGATCACATACAGCAAGTGTTATCTCCTGTCAAATGAATGATGCTACTGTAGTAAGAGCAATCTAGGTTTCCCCAAATACTGACAGTGATTATCAATATTAATATGCTGGGACGCTGGTGATATTTGAAATGAACGACATTTCAATTGACTTCGGATACTTTGCTTTTTTTGGCTGTAAAGATAAAATGTAATAAATTATATATTGTGCTGTGTTTCATCAGTTGCAAAGGAGTTTTAGTTAAAAGAAGCAATTTCGCTAAATCATCTAATACCAAAAGGAAGCTATGATTATGTTTGAAACACAGACATTAGCCTTACCAGTCAGACAAAGTAAGTCATTAATGGTTTGTTGGAATTCAAAGAGGGTATCTGAAACCTTTCATGTTACAGTATCTTCACATCAGAAAGGTTATTCCGTCATAGCACTGCATGCATAAACTACTGGTACTGCAAAACTGCCTTTCCCAAGGAATGGTTATCAATAATCATAGGAGTTATGTGATTCATGCAGTTGGATGTTGATGCAGGAAAAATATTAAGTAGGAGTGCTAGCATCAGGACCAGGGCCTGAAATGCTCATAAAATCCTACAGGCTCTCTCTCATCAGTTGATAGCAAAATTCGGTCTGCTAACCAAATAACATTGTGCACCAGACACTGTCTGGCATGACCTTAACTTCTTTATTTCTCTATCCACCTACATAGGAAAGACAACAGCCTCCCTGCAGTGCTTCCTGATTGTTTTAAATACTTAAAACTACATTGTTCCCCACTCATAAGTTTGACTATTAGTGCTCTACTTCTCCAATAGCTCTACATCATTGTTGTTTATTCATCAGGTTATACACCATGTTATATAATAACTTGTTTAAAAGCTTTGATTTTACCTCTCCCATCAACTCTAACGGTGCCTTTCTTTCTTCGTTTTTGCTGTCTTCATTAACAACATCATTATCATCATTCTCTTCATCTTGGTTTGCATCATTGTCTTCATCAGAGTCTTCTGCAATTCTGTTTTTAGTACTGGTGGTAGCTAAATTGTATGGTTCAATAGTGGTTGCAGAGTTTGCCACTACTTTTGTTCCTTTAGCTTCAAAAGAATTTAGATTTTGTTTTTCACCTGCAAAACAGAAAAGATGTGAAATAATTATAAACCAAACTCAATTTTCAAAAAATTAAAAGGCATTATTTTAAATTTTCCAGTTTTGCAATTTATTTTGATAGCTATCAATTAAATATTGCTTTAATTTTCTCTCTCCTCTTCCCTCTCTACTGTATGCTTGCAAAGGTGGCAGATCCCCAGTGGCTAAGCAGCTGATCATCAAGTAAATGCTTACAGTGGTTGCAAACACTTCTAACATGCAGGTAACACAGTTGACCTGAACCCGCCACTATCGTCATGTGCTTACTTTCAAACAGATGTCCAGATTGCAATCAAGTTCATGAGCTTCACCCAATTGTTCCTGGGTTACTGAGGCCAATTTTAGCTAATCAGGCTTATGTCCTAGCTTCATTTTTAGAAATTCAGTACTTTTGATAATTAAGCTTTCTTTGATCACATTTCACGGAAGAACGTTCCTGAGTTATTGTAAAATTTGCATTTGAAAAAGAAAACATATTCATGCATATTTAAAAAACACAGCTAAAGCAACATGTAGTTAACTGTAACGTTTGCTCAGCAAGACTGTAAATGATCTTGACTTAGCAATCAATTAGCAGCTCATGTTCATTGTATCAGGTATTGTTTGATTCTTTGTTGGCTGGAAACAGGTGAACAAATTAGGTTTAGGCTGATAGAAAGGCTTGTGTAATCTTCAGCATTTCCAATGAATGCATGTTCCCACATCTCTTATGTAACTTTTATAACTACTTTACTGTTAACAAATTCATGCAACCAAAATTGCAACTTCATACAAAATACACCTACAAAACTGCTATTTTGGTATATTTGAAACATCAGGTAACGATCAAGATTGTTGCAGTTGATGGTGCTCCAGGAGTGGAATAATATGTCCTCACAAAATTCCTTTGTGCACTAAATTTGCATAACAGCACTTAACATTATATTTTATTGTAGCATAAACTTGTTTAAGATAAAGAGATTAATGGCCATCAAAATAATATACCAAAGAATTGTATGTAAGTGTATTGACCAGAGTGTGACAAGCTGCCCGTCCCCCAGGTCAAAAAACCAAAATCCTTGTCTTTATTTATTCTGAATCTTCTCATACTTTACCTCTTTGACTTCTCTTTGAAGGAGATCGTGGCATAGTGGTAATGTTACTGGACTAATTATCCACAGGCGGAGGCAAATGCTCTGGAGCCATACATTCAAATTGAGTCACACCAGCTGGCTGAATCTAAATTTAATTAATAAATCTAGAATATACAGCTAGTCCAGAACTAATGGTCACAGTATTAGGATATGTGGTAGGCCATTTAAGACTGAGATGAGGAGAAATTTCTTCATTCATAGAAAGGTTCACCTGCGAAATTTGCTGCACAGAAAGCGATTGAGGCCAATATATCGAATGTTTACAAGGAGTGTGACATAGTGGTTAAGACTAAAGGGATGAAAGGGCAAGGGAAGGAAGAAGAGGGAACAAAATTGAATGATCAACCATGATCATAGTGTTTGGCTGAGCAGGTTCAAAAGGCAAAACGGACTACTCCTACACCTCTTTGCTATGTTTCTGTGAGTCAGTGATGGTGACAACCGGTTTAATCCAGTTTCAGAAGCCTTAGAATGAGGAGCTGTAAACAGAGACCTTTTTCTGATGAAGGGTCTAGGCCCAAAACGTCAGCCTTCCTGCTCCTATGACGCTGCTTGGCCTGCTTTGTTCATCCAGCTCTACACCTTGTTCAGTGCTGCCTTGTCTTCACTGGAGTGCTGCTTTGTTGCAGTGAAGTGTAACTCGAGTTTGGTGAAACAGGGAATTAGATGAAAAAAAGATCAGTTCCTCCTTTTTTCTCATTGCTGAGTAGTTCTGCTTTTTGACATCAAAGGAAGGTCTTAGGGAATTTGGGGCATAAGAAGAAAGAGGAGCCAGTGGGGGAAGAGACTGAGACTGAGCAGGAAATAAAAATCGAGGTCGAGGCTTGAGCCCAGTTAGAGAGGGAAGCCAGTGGAGGAGGAAAATCAGGGATCAGAAACAGTGAAAAAAGAGTGACATTGCAGGAAAAGCTGTAAGTTCATTGGTTGGTAAATAACTGCTAATTTAGAGTCATAGGGTTGTACAGCATGGAAACAGACCCTTCAGTCCAACTTGTCCATGCCAACCAGATATCCTACATTAATCTAGTCCCATTTTCCAGCTTTTGGCCCATATCCCTCTAAACCCTTCCTATTCACATACTCATCCAGATGCCTTTTAAATGTTGTAATTGTACCAGTCTCCACCACTACCTTTGGCAGTTCATTTCATACATGCACCACCCTCTGCGTGAAGAAGCTGCCCCTTAGGTCCCTTTTAAATCTTTCCCTCCTCAGCTTAAACCCATGCCCTCTAGTTTTGGATTCCCCTATCCTGAGGAAAAAAACCTTGACTATTGACCATATCCATGCCCCTCATGATTTTATAAACCTCTATAAGGTCACCCCTCAGCCTCCTCTACTCCAGGGTAAACAGCCCCAGCTTATTCAGCCTCTCCCTAAAGCTCAAACCTTCCAACCCTGGCAATATCCTTGTAAATCTTTTCTGAACCCTTTCAAGAGTTTAAGTCCTGCTCTGATTTGCCCTACCAAGATGTAGCACCTCACATTTATCTAGATTAAACTCCATCTGCCAGTCCTTGGCCCATTAGCACATCTGATCACGGTCCCATCCTATGCTGAGGTAACCTTCTTCGCTGTCCACTATACCACCAATTTTGGTGTCATCTGCAAACTTACTAACCATGCCTCCTATATTCACATGCAAATCATTTATATAAACGACAAAAAGCAGTACCGCTAGTCACGGGCCTCTAGTCCGAAAAGCAATCCTCCATCACCACCCTCTATCTCCTAACGTCGAGACAATTTTGCATCCAAATGGCTAGTTCTCTTGCATTCTGTGTGATCTAATCTTGCTAAAAAGTCTACCATGTGGAACCTTGTTGAAAGCCTTACTGAAGTCCACATAGACAACGTCCACTCCTCTGCCTTCAAAATTCCTCTTTGTCACTACTTCAAAAAACTCAATTAAGTTAGGTAAATTGGAGAAATATTTTACAGATTAAAATCTAAGGCCAGTAGAACATTTAAAAATGCAAATTAAAAACTAATTTAAAAATCAGAGTTGCAAGGCCAGATAATATGTTGTACCTGCATGGTGCAGAAGCGGGTGGATGCTGTAGCAAGTGTTTAAGCAACTCTGGCTCAGAATTGATTAACTGGAGTCTCAGCTTCAAACACTGCAGTATATCAGGGAGGTGGAGAGTTACCCAGATGCTTTGTTTGAAGAAGAAACCAGACCATGTAAAGTGAAATATCTCCACAGCGGCCTGTATCCCGTCACCAAGGTAACCTTTATTTACATGTGCATAGTACTTGCATAGTACGTGACAATGATCAGTTCCCTCAGAGCCAGCTCTCAGAGTGAACAGAACCTCTGACACTCCTGCTTATATCTGTCATTTAGGACTCCCTGATAGCCTGAGGTCACCTGGCTGACCTTGTTCCAATCACTACATCCCTCCCCTTCTAATCTGGGGATGTAGGCCTTTTCTTTTTCTTGTAGGCTGTCCTGGGTCATTTTCACACCAGATCCAGTTCCCCTGACTCAGTCCTTGATATGGATGGCATGAACCGGACCGTATCCAGCCTCTTGTGTCTGGAGCATCACAGAAGAAATTCATCGTCTTCTTCAGGTGGTAAAGTTGTTGAGGTTGTGACATCCGCCATGTCCATCTTAGTCTCTGAGGTTTATTTGACACTAGGTGGAAGGGGAAATCGTACAGGTTCCAACAGCCTTTCCAGCTGTTCCGAGGGTCCAGATATACTTTGCTCCTGCAGCATTTGTGAGTTTGTAGCTTTCATGTGGTCCACACGCTTGTTCAAGACCGCTTCTCCTACCCAAACTTTGTACATCACAGGACCTGACCTCGCATCAACCATGCCTCTTACCCATCCAGGGACATGCCCACGGTTTCAGCACCAAACTTCATCCCCTGAACTAAACTGCCTCCCTCACTTAGAGGAGTCTTGTGTACTGTGTTGGCATTTCTGATGCTGTTTCACCCTCCCCCCATGTTCAGGAAGATCAGATTAAGCCTGCTGCTGAGTCTTGTCCCTATTAGCAACTCTGCTGGAGCTATCCCTGTAGTTGCAAGAGGGGTGGCTGAAGCTGTAGGCTGTTTCTTTAAGCCTGCCTTCAAAGTTTGGACTGCTCTTGCTGCCAGACCACTGGATGATGGATGGTACGGAGCTGTCCTTATATACCGAATGTCATTCAACTTTAGGAAATATTGGAAATCCCTGCTGGTAAATGATGGCCTGTTGTCCATGATCAACACTTCTGGGAGCCCGTGTATTGCAAAAGATGCCTGCAGCTTTTGTATTGTCGTCCCTGTATTTGATGAATGAACTCTATGCACGTCCAACCACTTTGAGTGGCGGTCCACAATGACTAAGAACATTGAGGCCATGAAAGGACCTGTATAGTCAAAGTGTAACAAAGTCCAGGGTTTACTAGCCATTTCCAACAATGTCAGGAAGCCACTGGTGGTAAGTTTTGTCCTGTTGGCACTCTGGGCACTGCCCCACCAACACAGCTATTTCTGCATCCAATCCTGGCCACCAGACATAACTTCTTGCTGATATCTTCATTTTGGACAGTCCTGGATGACCTGGTGGCGTTCAGCCAGTATCTGGCAGCGACCTTTGCACTAGAGTGATCCGGTCTCGCCAGGTCCAGAAAGGTTTCAACTTTGGTTGTGAAGGTCCTTTTGTTTCCCCCATCACCAACATTTTGGTTTTTCCAGGACCGGATCTTTACATGTCCGCTGTCTGATATTGTCAGCGGTGACTGGCAGGGTGTCCAGAAAGTTTAAAACCAGAATGGGCTCTTCAAGTAACAGCACTACCAATGTTGTATCTGCCAGTGGGAGGCGACACAAGATATCTGCATTTGCTACTTG